ACCTTCTGGCACTTCTGCAGTCATGCAATCGCAAACTCGTTTATGTTCAGGTCGTAATGAAAGTTCTATTAGTAAGTCGAAATCGGTAGATTCGGTTTTGCTGTCTACTGCCGTTATCGAAATCGCGGGTATCAACAACAAATATCATAGGGCTCGTGCTTTACTTGATAGTGGTAGTCAACATTGCATTATTTCCGAATCAGTACGCAGTAAAATAAACTCTTATTCGATACAGTCCGCTTATCAGATAGTAGGGGTGGGACAGACGGTCTCACAGTCGGCCCAGTTGTGTGAAGTTAAGCTGAGGTCTTTAAACGATAATTATCAAACGAACATTAAATGTTTTGTTTTGCCGGTATTAACAAATATGATACCTACATTCAAAATAGATTCTAATTTATTAAATATACCGAAAGAAATCAGCTTCGCAGATCCTACTTATTATGCGCCGTCAAGGATAGATTTGATATTAGGGGTAGATGTCTTCTGGGATTTAATACTTGAAGGTAGAATTCGCTTAAGTAACGGACCTTATCTCCAGAATACTAAGTTAGGATGGATAGTGGCTGGCCCTATCGCCTTTGAACATAGGCGCATTATTCCTGTTCAATGTAATTTCACCCAAACGTTAGAAATAGGGGAACAGTTAAGAAAATTTTGGGAGATAGAGGAAATAAGCCATAACAATAATTTATATACCCACGAAGATAAAGTTTGTGAAAAATTATTTATAGACACAACTAAGCGTTTGAAAGATGGTCGGTTTTCTGTGCGCATACCGCTAAAAGAGTCAACGACTGAACTTGGCAATAGTTACGAAGTCGCTAAAAATCGATTTCTTTCACTTGAGCGAAAACTTGAGCGTAATGTTGAGTACAAACAAATGTATCATGAATTTATAAACGAGTACATAGGGCTAGGACACATGACTCGCGTTGCAGGTTGCCCGCAACCTAATTATTTTCTACCTCACCATGGTGTGGTCCGTGATGATAGTGTTACCACGAAGTTACGTGTAGTGTTCAACGCTAGTCAACCTACGTCATCCGGAAAGTCACTTAACGATATTCAAATGACGGGTCCCCCTTTACAGAGTGATTTGTTTGCACTTCTTTTACGTTTCCGCCAGTATCAATATGTTGCGTGCGCTGATATTGAGAAAATGTTCAGGCAGGTGTTAGTACAAGAAGATCAACGGAATTTACAGATGATACTATGGCGAGAAAGTCCTTCCGAACCACTTTTGCATATCAGCTCAACACCGTTACGTACGGAACCGCGTCTGCACCCTAACAGCATGCGATGCGTTAGACAGTTAGGGCATGAATGCACGAGCGCGGAAATCGCACATACAATATTAAATAACTTTTATGTTGACGATTATCTGGTAGGTCATAATAATAAGACGGAATTAGTGCGTATATGTAAAGGTGTTATCGATGTGTGTAAGTCGGGCTGTTTTCCATTACGAAAGTGGATATTTAACTCGGATGAAATCGCTAAGGAAGTCGCTCAAGATGATAACTGCCAGTCGAAACATTTTACATTGAACGAGAATAAGTCTTATAAAACATTAGGTTTAGGTTGGTCTAACAATAATGACGAATTTCATTTTATTTCTAAAATAAAAGGCGTTGAATTACCTTTAACGAAACGCTTGATATTGTCAGTCGTGTCGCAAATATATGATAAGTAGTTCCTCTGGAAATAAAAGGTATATGGGAGAAATTCGTTAATTCATTAACTTCATTACATTTAATTCGAGTACCTCGTCATATAATGGGGACTTATCCAGTTCGAATCGAACTCCATATATTCACAGATGCTAGTGAAAACGCATACGGCGTGTGTGCATACAGCCGTACATTCTCTGAGACCGGTGAACTTACAGTGCGAATGATCTGTTCAAAGAGCCGCGTCGCTCCAGTCAAGTCGGTCAGTATACCGCGACTCGAGCTCTGTGGCGCGGTAATCGGTGCAAAATTATTTAATAGGATAAACAGTATTTTGCCGGGTGATCTAGTTACAAAAACCTATTTATGGAGTGATTCTACGATAGTATTGTGCTGGATAAACATGTCACCTCATCTACTTAAGCCTTTCGTGAAAAATAGGGTTATAGAAATAAACGAATTAACCTCTAATGCTACTTGGCGGCACGTAGATGGTAAAATTAACCCAGCCGACTTATTAACAAGAGGATTATATATAGATGAATTAAGCAAATCGAGCTTGTGGTGGAACGGACCCGCATTCTTACATGAACAGGTTTGACTTTAGTCAATCACTAGATTTAGTTAGTAAACAAAACAGTTTGCCGGAATTACGCAAAAAACAAACTACTGTCATGACTTGTAACAGTTTAGGTATTGTGTTTGATTTCAATAAGTTTTCTTCATTTTGCACACTTCAGCGTTCCTATGCATATGTATTGAGATTCGTTCATAACCTCAAATCAAAACTTAAGTGTGATCGTTTGACAGGTCCTTTGTCAATGACAGAATTAAAAGAGTCGTTGAGATTTATTGTTCTAAGAGTGCAACTGGAATCATTTCCAGAGGAACATAAAGCTTTATTAAGTAAAATTCCAATAAAATCATCTCGTGGCTTATTAAGTTTAAATTTGTTTTTAGATAACAATAATATGATCCGAGTGGGAGGTCGATTGTTTAATTCGCCTGATTTCTCATACAACAAGAAGCATCCTATGCTGTTGTGTGGTAAGCATTATGTAACACAGCTAATTTTCAAACAAGAGCACCTACGGCTATTACACGCTGGACCTCAACATTTACTTGCGCACATTAGGGAGACCTGGTGGCCTTTGGGTGGTAGAAACCTGGCTAGAAAAACTATATTACAGTGTAAAATCTGTACTCGTATGAAGGGTGAAACAGTGAAACCAATAATGGGAAATCTACCAAAGGAACGCGTAAAGGCTGATTTTCTGTTCATAAATAGTGGTGTTGATTATGCTGGTCCATTCTATATATTGAATCGAAAGGGAAGGGGCTCTAAGCTTGAAAAGTGTTATTTATGTTCGTTTGTCTGCTTTACTACTAAGGCTTTGCACTTGGAACTTGTTACCAATTTAACCTCTGAATACTATATTTTAACATTAAAAAGGTTTATATCTCGTAGAGGAAAACCACTTTGTATTTTTTCTGACCACTTTCAATAAAGCGTAAACGAAAATAGAGTACAATTTTAAATTTGTATAAATAATGAATTTTATTGTAAGTACAACATTTTAATTCGCCTTTTTCAAATCTTGTTTTACATAAATAAGATTAAACTACCAGAACATCATAATCATTCGCCTCGAAGTAAAAAAATATGTTAAAACAGAAACTAACTTAACAGTAGTTTATTGATTATAGATACAGTTAATATGATTATGACGTAAATCATTAGCATTTAGGTAATTATTTTATTTGGATCTTGTTATTCTTGTTAAAATACATCTATTTTATAAGGTTGCTCTTATATTATGTTATTCCTCTCTATTTAATTAATATTCCATTGTGTATTCTTAAAATTAACTTATTTCTAGTTAAGAAACTATTGCTGTCATTTCTTACACTTTTCATTTGCCTATCGATAGATGTCATTATACATAGTTAAAAGGTAACTAGGTACACATACTAATTAACAACAACATTAACTATCACACTACTGAATTATTTCCTTCAGACTTTTTTGGATATGTCTTCATCCTCAAGACCATTTACTGGTATCTAAGCAGGACGGCGCCTCCCCTAGGAAATATTTCTGCACCTTTAAGAAAATCCCTGCCCGGAAAATATCTAAGCTACGCCCGTGAGTCTGAACTATCAAATGTTAAAAAATACATACACAATAAAGAAAACCAGAACATAGAAAGAAAGAATCATGAGTTGCAACAACAAATGTTCATAAACGTACAATCAAATGCTATAATTATTAGTGATCCATTTCATTGGAATGTGGTTTGATCATATTCGCATTCCAATAAAACATGATGTAAAAATCCGCTATTCAACCTAAGGAACCTTTCTTAGCAATAAAATAACGTGGCTGTACAACTGGAAACTTGCATTTATTTAAAAGTACCTCTTAAAACTATGTACGTACTTACTAATTTATTACGGAATAGGTACATATTGTTGCAAACAGGTGCCAAACCTGTTATTTATTTTGGCAGCTGTTTAAAATATTATATATATATAATAAGTATTCGGTGTATTATTTTTTATTTTAAGCATTAAAGTACCTATTAAATATAATTTTTATTATTTTTAAAGCATGTAACTGCTTGATGTTTAAATCTAAAGAAAATATAACTAGAAAAAATTCCACGCGGACCAGGCAGCAGACGGGACTCGAACCCGCACCCTTCGCAATCCGGGCGAATGCACTGACCAATTATGCTACCGCGGCCCTCACGGACCGCGTCGAAATTCCTTCTAGCTATTCTTAAGCTGCAAGGCAGCGCCATCTCTTCGCATTATAGGTAAACCCACAATGTCAAATGAATACTTTTACAAGTATTAAACATTTGAAAGAAGAAATAGCAATTATAGTTATAATTTTTATTATTTTTAAAGCATGTAACTGCTTGATGTTTAAATCTAAAGAGAATATAACTAGAAAAAAGGGTTTACCTATAATGCGAAGAGATGGCGCTGCCTTGCAGCTTAAGAATAGCTAGAAGGAATTTCGACGCGGTCCGTGAGGGCCGCGGTAGCATAATTGGTCAGTGCATTCGCCCGGATTGCGAAGGGTGCGGGTTCGAGTCCCGTCTGCTGCCTGGTCCGCGTGGAATTTTTTCTAGTTATATTTTCTTTAGATTTAAACATCAAGCAGTTACATGCTTTAAAAATAATAAAAATTATAACTATAATTGCTATTTCTTCTTTCAAATGTTTAATACTTGTAAAAGTATTCATTTGACATTGTGGGTTTACCTATAATGCGAAGAGATGGCGCTGCCTTGCAGCTTAAGAATAGCTAGAAGGAATTTCGACGCGGTCCGTGAGGGCCGCGGTAGCATAATTGGTCAGTGCATTCGCCCGGATTGCGAAGGGTGCGGGTTCGAGTCCCGTCTGCTGCCTGGTCCGCGTGGAATTTTTTCTAGTTATATTTTCTTTAGACCTATTAAATAGTTTTAAGTATTTTATAACTACAAAGTTTTTACTAAATAGAGTTTTAAAATATAATTTTCTACTCCGTGTAAGAGAGCACAGCGGCGGATTTTCGCTCGAATTGGAGCGCCGCCCATCCGGTGAAGTAACCTCTACCTTACAGAAGAACACAGTAAAATAACACTACCTCTTGGTAGCGTTGTGTTTCTGTCGGGGAGTAAAGTTGCAGGACTCCACGGGATAGGGTATTGGATTGGAAGGATTGGTTTAGGGTATACAACGGTGTGAGTGATATTTTTGATATCGTAAGCATCTATATGCTATGGTGACCGCCTACCATCAGGCGGGCCATCATCAACAGCCTATCCTAGCCCACTGCTGGACATAGGCCTCTCCAATAGCGGGCCATAGGTACGCTTATTTGCCACCATTTTAATTTTAACATAAAAAGGTGTGAAGCTGGATTTAAACCAGCGCTTTTATTACCTTATTTTTTATTATATCTAGGATCCATTTTGTTTCTTCTAGCAACACAGCTTCTTGACTAAATAACATTGTTTTTATTTACTGCTAATGAATTTTGACGGATCACAGCATAAAGTATGTTTCCCTAATTTTTGTTATAATAAATTCATGGCTAAGCAATGTTTTTGTTATGTTTATTCATCTCCTCGGTGTGACTCTGACCCAAAACTCAGGGATAGTGGTGATGATGCCCTGTATTCTTTTGGATGGTTTCTTGAGAGGTTTCCCGTCGGCTGTGGAGACATGAAAAGCTTGCATGAACCCAGCGAATACTTGGAACATTGTTTGTCGAGCGTAAGTTTCTCCTGCGCATAGACGCCTGCCTGTAATAAGTTGTAAAAATTCTTGAAAATAAAGAAAACATCAATTAAAAGATTGACCTAAAGAAAATATTACTACACAAAAACTACATTCTGTCCTGGCTTCAGACGGGTATCTCATTTAAAAACCTGGATCGAGTGGAGCTTTTTCTACTTATATTTTCTTTAGGATTTGAACATGTTGCAGTTGAAGCTTAAAAATATCTTTTAATTATTAAAAAAAACCTTATTATTAAATGAGATATTTAAAGTCCATACCATTATCATGATCTTCCTGCTAAGCACAAGGCTTGGACTTCAAATAATATAATATATCAGTCGGTAAATCTGATTTTTTATTTTTTTTTTTGTTTCTTTGAAGTCGGTTTAATTTTTTATTAAAAAATATTTAATTTTCAATTTTTAGTGATACAGAATACGCTACTGGCTGGAAATTTTAAAAGTAAGTTAATTAAAAATGAAAATTTAGCTTACGCGCGCTCTTCCAATCTTACATGGTTGAAACAGTTGGGCATCAACCCGTATTATTATGGATAATGGAATAAAATACTTAATACTTTAGAATGAAACAATCAAATAAAACTAGTTTTTACGGGTTAATGCACGAAACTTTATTTATTTATTGACCTTTCGCAGCCTTTTCAGGTCTGCATCGTCAGAATAATGATTTTTTATTAAAAATTGTCGAGCTACCTTCGAAAGACTTATATTGAGCGTTCGGTTATTTCATTGGAAGATTTTTAAAATTTTATTGTCTATGTATGAATTTATTATTTAATTTACTTAATAAAGTATTTTATTTAAAATTCTTGTTTGTAATTTTTGAGTTTATTTATTTGACCCTAACTACCGTAAACTACCACCGGTTCCAAAATTGGGAGACCTTCCTGAGAAGAACCGGCGAAACAAACTCAAGAGAGGCTTTCTATCTCCTTCTTATGTAAATAAATAAAGTTTCGAGCATTAACCCGTAAAATCTAGTTTTATTTAATGAGTGATGTGCGTGAAAACCTAAGAAACAAATAAAACAATCACCTGCCTAATGTATGACTCGACAATTAGGTACTTTGTTTGAGAAGAGTCCTATTGAATTGGATGTTTAGTTTATTGTTATGTTGCATTCTCGTTCGTATATCCTCTTGTCTGTGAGGGGTCACGCGCGCCTATTTATATTTGTGTTTATGATTAAGTATTAGAGGTGGGTCGTCGACGTATTTTTCGTCAACGAAACGAATCCGTCCACTACCGTCCATCGACTAGTCGATCAACTAGTTGAATTCTTCGACTAGTTGACGTGATAACGGCAGGCTTTAAAGGGTTTATAAGTATAATTGAGAATCCGACACTTTATATTTTTTCTATTAAAAAATTGTAACCGGGCAAAGTCTGAGAGGGTATGTTAAAGTTAAATTAATAAAAAATAAGATTAATTACCAGCTCCGAATGGCAGCGACTTGTCTTTTGACACGTCCAATTTGCCGTTGGCTATGAACCGTTCCGGGCGGAATCTCTCAGGGTCACCCCAGATCTCTTTATCCATGTGAAGGACCAAATAGTTTGCGCTCACAACCGTATCCTGAAACAATGAAAAGTTAGAATCTGTATATATTTTCTTGGGTTCAGTACCTAGTCAAAGAATGTTAAAGAAACCCTATAAAAAGAGTTAAAATCTGCATGCAGGAAAACGAACAGCCGAAAGAATCTACACTTTTACAAATTCCGCTTAAGATTACAAAAAAACAATTATTGAACTCTGTAATGTGACATTATTTCGCAATTTCATCTTAAATTTATTTATATAAAAAGTGGACTGTTGATAGTTTGCGCAAAATTAATTTTATTGCCTTGTTTTTTAAATCAAAACAAGTAAAACACTCATGGCAGGTCGGATTTCGGCACCCTAGGCGTTCAAAACATGAAAAGCCCGAACTTGAGCTGCAGAGAATGTGATTTATAAATTCAGAATGGAATATATAGCTAATAATAAATATATAAAAGTTTACCGATTAAAAAGTAGTAATCTTTAAATATAAAGAAAAGTTTACTAGAAAAAAATCCACGGGGACCAGGCAGCAGACGAGACCGCGTGGATTTTTTTCTAGTAAACTTTTCTTTAGATTTAAATATCTAGCAGTGAAAAGTAAGTAAAGCAATAAAAAATAAAAACATAAAGTTGTAATCTTGTTTTTTAAACGGTTGTGCCTTACAGCAATGTCATATGATTTGTACCTACTTGGTGTATAATTTTCATTATTGTACACTTCAGCTCTTATGTCCCTCCTAATAATTTCACTAGCCGCTTAATATATGAAAAACCACTTCTTTTTAGGGGAATACCTAAAGGATGAAAACGGTTGTTTCGCCAGTTATTTCAAAAGGTCTCCCAATTTTGGGACTGGTGATAGTTTATGGAGGTTAGGATCGAATAAATAAATAAACTCTAAATTATATAAAAGAATTAAATAAAGTACTTTATTAATTAAATTAATTAAAATAAAGATTTATAAATCATCCAAGGAAGTATCCCTACTCTCAATAAAAGTCTTTCGAAGGTGGCTTGACAAAGTAAATAAAATCATAATTCTAACGACGCGGCCTGAAAAGGATGCGAACCGTTTTAAACAAATAAATCATTGCATCTATACCGTCGAAACTTGTTTTATTTAATAAGTGGTATGCGTGTAAACTTACGAAACAAATATCGAAAACTTCATTTAAGTATGTCATCACGATAGCGGTCTATTAATCGTTTTTAATATAATAATAATAATGTTATTTATTTGACAAAATACAGTTTACAAGTTGATACATTTTTTAGAAGTAAGTACATGTATTCTACATGCAGGCAGGTGTGCAAATATGTTACGCTCAAAAATCGAAAACGCTTAGTGAGCGGAACAATAGCTCACAACGCGTTGTGGTCACAGTAAAACATCCACATGGCGAAATTCGTGTTATGGCTCTAATGATAACGCGCACGACGCGTTGTGGCAATCACAGAAAGACCAAATAGCGAAATTCGTGTCGTGGCTGACATGCTATTCGATCTCAACGCTTTGTGGCAATGACGAAAAGCCAAGTTATCATTAGAGCCATAACACGAATTTCGCCATGTGGATGTTTTAGTGTGACCACAACGCGTTGTGAGCTATTTTTCCGCTCACTAAGCGTTTTCGATCTTTGAGCGTAACATATATAGGGATGTCGAAAGTTGAAAAAAATATCGATATATCGATACATCGATCTTTTAAAAAATATCAATATCGGCTTCGATATATCGCGAAAAAAACATCGATATATCGGACCAATTTTCCCAAAAATATCGTACAGTAGCTCACGAAATTTGACACGCGGAATAATAATGGAACGAAAATTATTTCCCTAAAAATAGACCCTATTTTCGAATGTTGAAAATCATTAATCTGAGATCCAGTTACGATTTTTCCAGATACGAATTTAGTAAGATCGTGATATGCCGCTAATAATTAAAAAAATATCGTTTTTGATACGAATTTCGATATTGGTTATTTTGTATCGATATATCGAATCAAAATATATCGGCAAGAAATATCGATATATCGAACAAAAAATATAGATATATATTGATACATCGATATATTTTCAACAAGCCTAAACATATATACATATTAACATGTTATAAGCAGTAACTTTATAAATATATTAAAAAGTTTCTTCATCTGGACTGTGCTCTGTAGTGATAGTTTTTCAGCTCTTGAATCGTAAATTGGCAATCGTCATTTTCTTCTGTGTACCCATAATATACTTGTTCCATTGCTGCATCAGTGTTAAAAAATCTTGGATTAACCTAATGTTCAGCTTTATTCAGTTGAAGAAAATTTTTAAGCAAGTTCTATCTGCATGATACTTTGCTTCAAATGTCTGTAAGTGTGCTATCTGTACCAAAAAATCTTTTATGAATTCATAAAAGAATTTTTGTATCTCGATAATATTCAGTTGTCTAAAAGCTATAAAATTCACGATAGAGTCTTCAAAAGTTGAAGTATTGATGTACGAAATTTGTCTTCACCGATTTTTATGAAATTTTGCCTGCTTTTTTTGGATCAGCTTCTTGCCCACTAAGGAAACAATTTTGTTTTCAATCAAAGCTAGATAAATCTTTGCTACAGAGCCTCTCAATGTAATAATGCCACCCAAATCTAAGATGGTTTCGAAAGTTGAGCTCAACTATTCAAAAATTATGCTTATCTATTATTCGAAAGCAGTAAATAAATAATGAAAAATCCTAGAATAAAGTCAACCAAGGCCGTTTAATTTACGTTCCCAACTACCAACATCGCAATCCAACTTAGAGCATATAAATGCTCTAAGCAATCCAATGATAACTTAGTTGCGTTTTATATATTTTTTTAATTGAATCGTCCTTTCTTATCAATTTATCCTTTATTAAATTAATCATGTAATAATTAACTGCAGGATTTTAATCAAATTACTTACTAAACGGAAAAATAGGAATAAACTTTTGTAATAAACCGTCGACAGTCTATACACGTCCATCAGAAATATACAAAATATTTTGCGCATAATTTTTACTCTTAGATAATAAGTAAGTTCTGCCCTCCCTCCAATATTTTTTTTTTGCTGCCTGCTCTGAGTCACTACAGCCTTCGATACGCTCAGATAACTTTGAATTTAGGTAAAATACTATGCATACATAAGAAAAAAATTAATAAACTAGAATTTATATTCTCATATATTTGTTTTTGTTTAAATAACAAAAAATGGCACAAAAAAAAATGGTGAACATTGCAATGTATAGTATATGATATAAGCATAAAGAACAAAATTCCATTTCAACCATAAAAAATATTCACTACAGCAAATGTCCGAGGTCTTTACCCCCAAGCGCTCCGCTACAAGTATACAGTCTATGCATGCTTTTTTGTGCTAATTAAGTAGTCCCTTAGTTTAAATTGTATGAGATATGTTTGTTTGCAGCATGGAGCAATGCCTCATGAACCTTCATAGCTAGACAGTTGAAATTATTAAAGATAACGCTATAACTAGAAATACTTAACACAGAATAAAATAAACATTTAATGCAGCCCCCATACAACGTGATTTATTTACCCCCGCAGAGAGATGCCATCCGCCTGGAATACCTCTCTCGAGTGGTACTGCCTCTAGAGGCACTCGCCAATTCTCGGCTTGTCCGGTGACGCTGTAAAGGTCACATGCGACCAACAGCATACACACTCAAAAAAAAAAGTGATTTCTTTGCCGTTTATTGCTGGATTGTGTTTAAGTCTAATGTTGTATAGATAATGGTATGGAACCCTTCGCGTGCAAGTCCTACTCGCAGTTGGCCGGTTTTATAATTTAACTAGCTGACTCGGCGAACTTCGTACCGCCCAAAAGTAATAATTTGCAATAAATTAAAATTGCGACTATAATTTGAGATTTAAACTATCCTATCTCTCAAGTTGGATCGAACTGCACATGGTGTGCGAATTTTATTATAATCGGTTCAGTGGTTTAGGAGTCCATTGAGGACAAACATTGTGACACGAGATTTATATATATTAAGATTACACAGAGCAACTAACGCTCTGTTGTTTGGAACAACTCACCATAAAAAATCAACTGAATGGTGTAGGAGACGTAAGAATGTTTACACAATATGAGTACCTGCATCGCACCGTTCACACATCTTTGTCCTCTGTCAAGTACCAAGTAATATATTATACCTATATGCTAACCAGCAACGTACAGTTGCTTATTAAATAATGGAAGTTATTATCTGTCTACCAAACAATCAGTTTAAATCTTTGAACTAAAGCCCAGGTAGCAAATTTTAATAATTTCTTACAATTCAATCTGAAGAGACACTGTATGTAGTTATATAAACAAATATAAAGTAGTATATAAGGCCTCATAATAATGACATAATCTGAAAACAACTACCGATTTTATAAATCTCTTTTAAGTTTTCTAATACGGTCTAGTGAAGGAACTTCTGAAAATCTCGTATAAAGTTAACGCGGACGAAGTTGCAGGCGAAAGCAAGATGTTGAAATTGTGACAATGATGGTAAAAGATGTGGCTGGTTTTATTGCAGCAGTGCTAAGCCAAGAGCCGTATTTAGATGTGTGTTTAGAGGTTATTTTAACTGTGTTGTGGGGGCCCGGGGCCACAGACCGCCTGCCCTGCCTTAAATCAGGCCCTGGCTGAACCATTTTGTCAATAAGTGTATAGAATGCGGTTTATTGCCAGCAAAAATAAAAATATAAACTTATATAGGTAAACCTCGGGTATATCGTATCCGTGGAACTTGTAGTTGGTGATGCAGCGGTGCGCCACACCCAATGGCACCAGTGGTTCGATCCGCATCATTTCACGGAGGCACGCCTCCGTGTAGGGCATACTGGGAACAAAAACAAACGTAAGGAAAACTTGGTTGAACTATTGTATCAAATAACGTAATAACTAAGAAGGAGCGAGTTTGTGGAGTTGCATAGCAAAATCGTAAGGTGTTCAGCAATTGCGACGTAAATGATAACACTATTGTGGTTAAGAAAGTATCTGTAGCATAAGTAAGATATTCCATTTCAACGTTACATGTTTTGCAATTTTGCATTGTTATTATACATTATACTAAAGTTTTATTGAAGCATCTTATGATATTCTGTTGCCATACATACTTCTTTCTGTCATCAAGATTGGGCAGCCGTCCCCTACCGACTACTCTGTCGATCTCTTCGTGAATTTTGTCTTGAATCTCTGGCTGCAGCAGTATTCTTTCGATCAGCATGGCCAGTACTGACTCCGTGGCCGTAGCGGTGGGGAACATGTAGTCCACGCAAGTCAGGACTAACTGGTCCACTAAAATATACAATACGTTCACGTAATATCTGATGATGATATCATGCCTGAAGAGATTAAATAAAGCGAAATTTGGTGCAACTGCAGTGCCTACCCTCCTACCCTCTCAAAAAAGAATCTAAGAGCCAAGTCTTGGATAAAAATTATTAATTATAATCAAGTCTTAGGCCAGTTTAACATATCTTTCCATCAAATTATGGTTATTGAATTGGGTCAGTTCAGTATTAAAAAGCTCAGTTTTGTTTGGGACTAAAGATTTGATGTGATTGTATTAGGTTGGGGAAAAAGTTTCTTCACATTTTATACAAAAATTCAAATCCTTTTTTAATGAGGTTTATTTACATTTAACTAAAGTATGTGTGTGCCATTTTGTTCTATAACTTTTTGCAATCTTGTAGGGGACATGATCCCATTACTAAGTGCTGCAAATAGTTTTGGCAGTCCTCTCGTGATGTTAACCTGACACTGCCTCAAGAATTCTGAAGAGACCGACAGGTGGAAATCTGAAAGTGCAAGGTCAGGACTATACAGCGAATGCATTATCACCTCCCAGTCAAACTCTCTTAATGTTTGCTGAGTGGCTAAATATGTGTGAGATCTAGCGTTATCATAATTTTGTATATAAAACCTTCCAGCCGCTTTCTCTCAGCTTTTTGCTTTAATCTCATCAGTTGTTCGTACGCAGCAGAGTTCCGAATCGATGGTCCTGCCTGGCGGTAATAGCTCATAATGAATAATGTCCTTCCAATCCCACCATACACACAGCATCATCTTGTTGCGAGTTTTTAACTTAGGTAATTATGTGTTAATCTATCTAATCTATTACTCTTTTGTTTAAAGTAATAATAATCTACTACACACATCAAAAGTGTCTAGGGATCAAGCATTTTTATGCGGATTTCTTGAGATTGAGATGTGGCTTTGTAATAAATTTATGATTTTATAAATTTATATGGATCCTTTTTGGTGCATTTCATAATTTGAATCAGGAACTGTGAATCAAATTCGAGTAAAAGATGAAAATCAGCTGTCAATATTTTCCCTATAAAAACATACAACGCATTGAAGACATTATTAGTGCTACTGTTTCCCTACTACTGATTAAAACCAACGTTATTATGGAGCGGCGACGTCATTTAAGCAGGGAAGAAATGCTCAGAGCCGTGGGAATGATAGAAGCTGGTTCCCGGCAACGTACTGTGGCTTTAGCTCTGAATACAAGTCAGAGTGTTATCAGTCGACTTTGGACACGATACCGAAGCACTGGTACCGTGGCTGAGCGCCATGGAGGACGGTATCGCTGCACCACACGGAGACAAGACCGATACATTCAAATCTTAACTCGAAGAGCTCCAACAATAACCGCCATGATGTTAGCCGTGAGGCTTCATCACTCTTCAGGGAACTTAATTAGCGACCAAACAGTCAGAAACCGCTTGCATGAAGTGAACCTTCATTCCCGAAGACCGCTACGGGTACCACCTATAGCAATGCACAATCGTAGGATTCGATATCAATGGGCTCTTGAACACAGAAATTGGGCAGAAGAACAATGGCGTTTCGTGTGCTTTTCTGATGAGTCTCGTTTTGGTATGAGACCGGATACAAGACGTATACGACACTGGAGAACCCCTGGACGCCAACAGCGATTAAAATCCTGCCAGGAAGTCCATCCTTATAGTGGTGGAACCATCATGGTATGGGCGGGTATTTGGATCGGCGGAAGAACTGAGTTGATTTGGATCAGAGGCAACCTCAACGCTCAAATTTATGCTGAGACGATTGTATCAGACGTCATCGTTCCTCTACAAGTGCAAATCGGTCCCTTATTTCAGTTAATGCATGATAATGCACGACCGCACACCGCAAGAGTTGTAAGACAGACTCTCGCCGCAGCTAACATCAATGTCCTGCCCTGGCCTGCTCAGTCGCCAGACTTGAACCCGATTGAGCATGCATGGGATATGCTACAGAGAAGAGCTCTGCCGAATATGGAGGGTATCCAGTCGCAAGAAGACCTTTTTTTGTTGTTGCAACGAACATGGGCGGCCATTCCACAGCGTGATTTGGATGAACTCATTTTGAGTATGCCAAACCGATGTTCTTGTGTTGTTAGTGTTCGCGGTAGAAATACGGATTATTAATTGTTTAAGTTACCCAATAAAATTTTAGAGAAAACTGTTATTTCAGTCTTTTTTTCGAACTTTTGTGTTAGTGGTTCAAATGTCAAAAATCCCTTTATTAGGAAAATGGCAAATTTCTTTATTAATGCAAAGGTGACTTGGTTTATCGTTACTGTGACAAACGAAAACACTTTATTTGATGAATCCTTAAAGAAAATTTTAATTAATATCAATCAGGAGAAAAGTTATTGCAAAAATATATGTTGATCCCTAGACACTTTTGATGTGTGTATATAAAAATAAGTCGGGTTTTCCTTCCTGACGCTATAACTCCAGAATGCACGAACCGATTTCCACGGTTTTGCATTCGTTGGAAAGGTGTCGGGCTCCGTGAGGTTTATAGCAAAGAAAATTCAGGAAATCTACTATATAAAAATAAGTCGGGTTTTCCTTCCTGACGCTATAACTCCAGAATGCACGAACCGATTTCCACGGTTTTGCATTCGTTGGAAAGGTCTCGGGCTCCGTGAGGTTTATAGCAAAGAAATATCAGGAAAAATTTCAAAAAAAAAAAAATCTTCTTTTAATCACCAAACGAAATGTTACATAAAACGAAGCCATCTGATGGCGAAACGGAGTTCGCCTGGTTTGCTAGTTAATTATATAATTCTCTTTGGTAATGTTAACGTCTGTCATTGATGTCTTTTATGCTTGATGTCAGTGCAGTCTTTTATGCTGAATAAAGCCTAGTTTTCTCAAGGCTTTCTCTTTATTTAAAACAGAGACCACGACCTTTTTCGCACGTTCTGGACTTTTCATCACCAGTGTTTCTTCAAAACTGATTCGGTTTCATTACGTCGTAATAAAGAATCACAAATGAGTTCTGTATAATGGTTCATTAGGTTTCTTTCAGTGAGCTCGTGAGGCACCCAAATATCGATCTTTTTGTCTACCCAGCTTTTGTTAAATGCACCAAAACTAACAAAACAATGATATGCCGAGTTTGCTCCATTTTTTCAAAACTGGTATCATTTTTATTCGTAACAGGGCGAACAGAACGATGTGCATATTTGTCATCAAAAATTTCGGATTGAAAACGCTTATACTAAATTGTGCTACTCTCACAGACACTGCACTAGGTCCATAAACATCACAATTTTTTTTGCGGCCTGCGTTGCGTTTTTAACTTTATTGTAGAAAATTTTTAAAATGTAACAATATTCTTCATTAGATTTACTCATATTTACAGTAAGAAAAACAAATGAAAATCACACACTTTTTTATTTGAATTACGAATTTTACTTCATTGAAATTTAAACTTTTTAATGAAACCAAAACCAGCCAGATACAAATGGCATAGCCAAAGAGATTTTATTACAAGATACATCATACATACCATCATGATCCAAATCATTGATCATTTTCATTAATAGTGACTGGGCGTCTCATGGACAAAGTTAAGCGTAGCGCGATATCGTAGGCCCATGGGCCACAATCAGCCTTCTGGTTGTTTTTGAGATTCTTTTGTCAAATTGCTTGTATGTATGTTGAAAGTATGCTTATGTGTATTTTTTTTTTTAAATAAATGCATTGTGGGTGGTATCCCCTTAGTAGCCTAGATGCATTATCTTATTGTTCGGACACGTGGAAAGTATGTGAAATGAGAGAATGACGAAAAAGGATAATGACTCGCCTATAATGATAAAACAAAGACATTTGCGATCAAATTGATCGTGTATTGTCTATGTGTATTGTGCTTTTCTTGTGCAAAACTGCGGGCGTGTATATTAAGGCTCTAAGCTTGTCTGAATGCAAAGGATGCAAAGTATGTATTCAAAGACGAACTTTGACAGCCCCGTAGTCGTGCCGTCATCGTCAAATTTTGCATGGAAGGAGCCAGTTTGTTCTTACATCCGATAGGGGGCTGCTTAGTTTTCATTGAAACTTTGACGACGCGATACGATTACGGAGCTGGAAACCCCACCCATAAAACGGCGTGGAGGTGATGGATCCGCTTTGTTAAGCTAGCCCTTCTCCATACAAATTATAGGTGGGCAAAAGAAAAAAGCTTCGTAATCCTTTTTCTCATATTTGCATTCCGGGTTTTTAATTTTCACATCATTTATTTTCAACACTAAAAGGTGGCATTGTAATTTAATGCATCCACTTCATTTTCCGATTGTGATAATCTTTGCAATCTTTATCACTAATGTAAGTACATAGACATAAGGTATAGTGATTACCAGTGCCAGATTGAAGATTGATACAATAATTTTGATATGTTTTCATTTTTACAATGGTTCTATAAATCAAAAACTATTAAGGGCTAGGGTTTTCTATGCATAACATCGTAATTTTTTCGAGTTTTTGGAATAGGTTTCATAAACCGCTAGTATACTTTTCTATACTACCTATATACAGGGTGGCCGGGGAGTTGAAGTTCAAGCGTAAAATTTAGATACTTTATGATGAGGAGTATCCAAATCACCCCCATGTATGTTCTACGATTTTGCGTAGTTTTCGAGTTATATTTTTTTAATGTTTTTTTTCGTAATTACCACCTAACACCCGTTTTCCTTTTTTTTTCATTCTGTTAGACGCTTCTGGTTCAGTTTTTTTGTAATAACTGACTAACATAGTCTAACCTATCACCCTAAAACTTATAGTTTATCTAGGCATTGCAGAATTCACTTAGAATTTGTTCGAAAGTTCAAAATTATGATTTGAGCTCAGTACACACAAATTTTCAAAGTATCAAAAAAAATGTAAATGGTGGGATTTTGAGTTCAAAGTGCTTTTAGAAACTTCCTGAGACATTAAACTTTCAAACAAGGCCAAATAAAGAAACCGTTAATGGGGTTTTTTTTTCTTTAACTTACCTTCAAAGTAAATTAGGGCATTTTCAAAGGAATTATTTTATTTGATTTAAATCTTTGACTTTCTATGAGTTATGATGGATATGAGTAAAACGCAGTTAATTGTGAACAAAATACATTAATTTAAGCAAATTTTTAAAAATTTTGCCCTCCCACAGAAATACGCAATCTACATCTGCGCAAAAAATTATGTTTTCACGATTATTTTTGACAGTGGTTTCAGCTTCGCGAATTTTTGCTCTCAGTTCTTCTTCACTCGAAGTTTCTCTGGCGAACGCAATTTCTTTAAAGTAGCCCCAGATAATAAAATCAATAGGTCAGGCGAGCGTGGGGCCAGGCAATTGGCCCTTGTCGTCCGATTCACCTGTTTGGGCAGGTCCCCAGACCTTCACCGTGTCGCACGTCGGGAAGAGACGCCGCAGTGTCATCATTGCGGCGCCCCGGATGACACGGCCGAGCACACCTTATTGGAGTGCCCAGCCTGGCGACACCAGCGCCGCAACCTCATTGCGGCGCTGGGATGCGGAGCCCTCTCGCTGCGCATGGGAGGCAGTCGCCTCCTTCTGCGAGAACGTTATCTCGCAGAAGGAGGCGGCTGAGAGGGAGCGGGAGGATGATCCTCTGGCCGCTCCCTCCCGCCAAAGGAGGACGGGTAGGAGAGGATGGCGGCGCACCCTGGCTGCGCTCGTCCTTTGACCCTACCCGTGGGGGTCCCTCGCTGACCGACATGGCGCTGGCCGTGCCGGCTACCGACGGACCCCGTGACGGCAGCCCCCCCTTGTAGTTCTGTCCTGCAAAGAGGGGGGCGGCGGAGGGAGCTACACGGGCACGCCCAAGTAGCCCTCCGCAGCGGACGGGGGGCGGTACGGTGGGCACTAGGCCGCGTACTCAGCCCCCACGCGCGGGCCTACCCGCGCACGTCTGCGGTTCTCCGTGATACCCCGGGAGACCCCTGCCGTGGAGCCCCGTTCGGCGGTGTGCCTCTTAAAGGCGCCGTCGTCTGTAAATAGATTTTTTACCTGCGTATTAAAAAAAAAAGGTCACCAGACCTTAGACCACTAAATGGCGACGCACTTGTGTCGCGTAATGACATGGCGCCCCGTCGTTCTGGAATACCATCGTTCTTCTTTATTCAAGATTTACATCTTCCAGTAATATGGGTAGATTGTCTTCTAAAAAAACTTTTGTATGTGTCGCCATCTAATCTCGATGGCAGTTCAAATGCGCCTATTAATTCGCCATTCAAAACACCAGACCACATGTCAACGCTAAGACGATGTTATAATAATGATGGTCTGGCGGCATGTGGATTTTCAACGGCCCAAATGTGAAAATTATGGATATTGAAAATCCCAGTTCGCTCAATATATAACTCAATATATATAATATCCGGGATCTTCTTCCTCTTTCTGCAACATAGTTCTACAGAACTCGACTCTCAATTGATAATCTGAAGGCTGCAACGCTTGTACTTTTTGTATGTGGTAGACCTGAAATGATTCCTCACGCAAAATATCCTGTATTGAAGATCTTGGTAAGTCAAGATGACGAGCTAATGCTCTCGTACTTGTACTACTATTGCGTTGCACTTCTTCCAGTACGATTTCCCTGCGTTCCTGATCAACCCTCTGAATGCCTTCACTGCCACGTTGGCCAGGAATGCGGTCTGCCGTTAACGTATTGTGAGTATTCATGTACACATGATAGTCAGGGTAATGATCAGGTTGCGCTCCGCCTCGGCGTTGAAGTTGATCCCCGTAGAAATAATGCATTTCTGCATATTCACTCAGAGTGTAGGGCATCACTAACACTTCCAAGTAACTACAGTCCAAATCGTTAGGCACTACGGAATCCAGTAACAAGCAGGGGTCAAACAAGTAAGCAGCGGCGGTATCAGTAGGCAAATAGTGGTCGAGTAAAAACGGCAGAACAAGACGAGTAAGTAAGTAGTAGTAGAATTTAGGTCATTAACAACTGTGTTTTACTCAAATCCATCATAACTGAGAGATAGGCAAAGATTTAAATAAAAGAAAATAATTATTTTTTTTCCTTGAAAAATGCCTTAATTTACTTTGAAGGTCAGTTACAGAAAAAAAACCCATTAACCCTATCTTTATTTGGCCTTGTTTTAAAGTTTAATGTTTCAGAAAGCACTTTGAACTCAAAATCGCCCCATTTACATTTTTTTCATACTTTGAAAATTTGTGTGTACTGAGCTCAAATCGTAATTTTGAACTTTCGAACAAATTCTAAGTAAATTCTGCAATGGCTAGATAAACCATAAGTTTTAGGGTGCTAGGTTACACTATGTTAGTCAGTTATCACAAAAAAAACTGAACCAGAAACGTCCAACAGAATGAGAGAAAAATCGAAAACGGATGTTAGGTGGTAATTACGAAAAAAATCATTAAAAAAATTATAACTCGAAAACTATGCAAAATCGTAGAACATACATGATTTGGATACTCCTCATCATAAAGTTTCTAAATTTTACGCTTGAACGTCAACTCCCCGGCCACCCTGTATATTAATATTATAAAGAGGAAAGATTTGTATGTAAATATGTTTGTAACAAATTGGCTCAAAAAGTACTGGACCGATTTTAAAAATTCTTTTACCATTTGAATGCTACATTATCAGTGATTACTATAGGCTATAAGTTTATTTTCAAAAAAGTTAGGTTTCCGTATGAAAACTTTGATAATGTAATCCAACGTGTGTAAAAAATACCAATAAATAGCCTTATATCGAGTACGCTGCGAAAGTCATTGACAATAAAGTGATGTATTAAAGTTTTATAGAGGATACCAATATCTACAAAAAAGTCCGCGATACCATATGTCTAACGTCCCCTGCAGTTGCACCCGCGTTAATTTGAAGAAAATTAAAGAAACGGTTTATAGTGAGTCAAACTAAAAATATGGACATAGGCTGTCGTGGTTTTTTTTTCAGAACTTTTAAAGGGGTACAATTCCGCCATACATGATTTTTGTGTAACTTTAACCGTTTACCCAGCGTACGCAACAGAATCTCACAAATGGAATATTTTTACGCGTTTTTGCAACATTTATCATCGATGCTCCGCTGCTACTGGTCGGAGCCTGGTAATATATAATAGCCTTCCTCGATAAACGCATTGTCCAATACAAAAATATTTTTTCAAATCGGAACAGCAGATAAATGTTGCATTCGGTACAACAGGTCCTGCACCACGCAACGAATTTTTTACTTGGAATGGAAGGTTTATAATTATTATGAAGAAAGTCATTGTGTATAATAATACAAGCCTTTAAGCAAAAACTATAGTCTACACTACAGCTCTACACCGAAGCAAAGCAAGGGCGGGCTACTAGTATACTATATACCCAGTTTATACCTGAAAATGTAGACTTTCCTTCTTTTTCAAGTTCTTCCTTCATTCTTTTGACATACATGTCGAGGAAATGGCGATTGTGTGTACCGTCATGGGTTTTAATTACTTCTTGTACTAATTTCTGTAACAAATGGTAGAATTTTTTATGGTATGCATAATTTAAGTTATTATTTTTGAAGAATATGTAGGTTGTTATTGTAATTTGGTAATAAACTTTAGTTAGAGCTACGTAGCTCTAACCTTATCATTATTCTGAGGATTCCTTTCAACTTGAACTATGAAATCATTCTACGTCGAGCTGTTTCTTATATATTATTTATTCATTTAGGTACTTACAAAAACATGTATCGTTAGATAATAATTGAATCATGAAATCTACTGAGCTAGACCAGATCTCCTAAAACATAGATGAACATAATGGCAAAAAAAATCAATAAGGCAAGAATAGACGTACAAAAACAATGAACTTTCATATCAAACAGATAGAAGTTTCCTTTCATTGTTCCTATGTACCTTTATAGGAATGTCGTTTGTTTGATTTCTTTGGTTAGATTATCATTTTTTTTTATTTTACCTTCCAAATTCAAACCTACCTGAAAGAAATCTAATAAACACTGGTTGCCTTTCCTCAAGCCGTTATAACCACTCCAATTCGGAATGATATCTTTTATCCACGGTGTCAAAGATAAGGCCGCTCCCAAGTCATTCGAATTTCTCTGAAATATTAGGCCATTCTTTGCTAGATCCCACAACACGTGGTACTCTGATCTTGGCAGAGTCATCTTGCTCAAAACGTGCATCATGCCATTTATGAAGGGGACAGCGAAGTAGTGTTGCAAGTAAATCAGCTCTCCCTTGACCAGCTCCTGTAGAATTTCCCAAGTATTATTCTTATTGAAGCCGCAATTACACTTTGACGTTACGTCGTTAGCCTGTACTCAGGTGCACGAAGGACATTACTCGATTTCGGGCACCCGATGCAACAATTACATTCTTTACTCACGTTCCGGTATTGGAACACGAGCAAACGACCCTGCAGCCGCGTTCTACTTGGTGATTCCAGATTGGAAGGAGCCAAAAGGAATACGGGCATGCTCGACTCCGTTCATTTACACTTAGTCGTTAGCCCGAATACGCTAACGGTCAAGTGTAATTATGCCTTTAGCCATAAACATTTACTCGTTGGTATCTAATGGCGCAATTACACTTGGTAGTAAGCCCGAATACTATCTATGGCCGAATATGGCCAAAATCCATAGGCAACCGTATTCGGGTATAAACGACTAAGTGTACGCTAACGGAGTCGAGTACGCCCTTATTCGGACAGTTTTCGTTTTGTTTTCGCGGCGACGCTGTTTTCCAGCCCGTGTTCGAGTAAAAACAATGTAAATATAGCATCGAGTGCCCGAATTCGAGTAATGTGTCTCGTGCACGCGAATACGCGCTAACGACCAAATGTAAATGCGCAATAACATTCGTAAATCTACATTAACGACTTTTGAGGAATTCAACATAATTATGATAATGACAGCATATAAATATTGTAATTTGTATTTCAAGTAGATTATCCTACTTGTGGATATTATTCCGGTGGGCCAATTAAAATAATGGGCCTGATTCTGGCTTGATTCTCTAATCATAAAACTAAATTTAATATTTGTTAATAACGCTTGAAAGTTATTTTAGTGGTGGTGCGTTTTTTTTTTGACGCCGAGTTAGTAGACGTAGTAGCCGCCAAATTATTACGTCACGCCGCTCTATTCCAATGTGCCTGCTGTCAACTCAGAACTTTTTTAATGTTTTCGTAACCAAGACAACGCATCTATTTACATTACTAATGTAATGACGTCAAGACCGCAGAGCAATATGGCGTCCACTGCGTTTAGCGTTTTCGTTTATCATCATTTAAATGTATTTTTAAGGCACTTATCGATTGAATAAATATTATATGTTTTTAGTAGCATATTAGCTTATTGAGACACTTTCAACAATGGTTGTAAAACCCTATTGGTGTGAGTTTGGAAATATTTATTTGCTTTAAGGTTGTTACATTTTTTAAACGCAATTATGTAATACCTACCTACGTAAATAATTTAAGCAATTTACAAAATAAAAAGTGTATCACCCCCAGGCAGGTAGTTAATTATGATTTAAACTTATCATCAATAATACATATTGTCCATTATCTGTTGTTTATGTCAAAGTTTATGTAAGAGCATGGCCGATTAAGTCATTTCTTTGGCATGCACTTTGCTGACTTTGCTATTGTTATCTGACACGAGATTGCAGTAAACGCACGTTAATTGAAGTTTTCTGACAGTGCAATGGCTAATTATACCTATAACATCTTATTTCTGTGGACAACATTTCGATTCAAACAGCACCACACGTGGAGATATGTGATCCATGCTTTTGCTTATCTACGGTAGTGGCACCAATTACCGGTAACACCAAGTTATAGACGCTCGTTGTTACCATATTAAGTGGGTTACCTACGCTTATTCTCATTGATCACAAAAAAATGTTGATCATTGGTTCTGATCAGTCATTGGTGTTATCATTATTACATGCTTACCATTTATATGCTATTGAAGCCAAACACGACTAGAAGACTCAAGAGAGCCGATGTGCTAACTTTCTACGGAGAGACGGAGCAGTAACTCTACCTCGTCAAACCCCAACCTCTTGCAAATCACCTTATTATTATAGTCTTACTAACGGTCTGATCGCGGGCCTAATAATAGAAAAAACTAATAATAAAATTATAAATCCTTTTACCCCACCCGTGACTAGATTCGAAGATAGACATAAAATTATGCAAAAAACAGACAACTGTACGCCTACCAATATAACTATATATTGATTTCGATTCTGGCATGATTCTCTAAAGCTAAACTTAAATTTGACAATAGTGCATCCTTGTCCTTCTCTATATAGAATGAAAAGGTGAGACTGACCTTAAATTTAGTTTTAAGTTTAGAGAATCACGCCAGAATTGACACCATTATATTACTATTTTTGCATTTGATGCAAAAATAGTAATGGTACATAACCGGATTATTCCCCAGGGACGTCACTTTGATTATTGAGAGGAAATAATCAAAGGGGCGTCATAATACAACTCTTTTGAATCGTCCATATTTTTTTCCACAATGTTATGGACATTTTTAGCTGAGGAGAAAAACAGGTGGAAATACTTCACAGCGTTAAATTATGTAAAAATATTACAAAATCATGTCATCTTTATCGTATCCTTAGAAACAGCCTGTCGGACGCTTGGAACAATTTAAAAACCCAAACCGTTTTTACCAAAATCCTTCGTCCAAGCGTTTTCCGATATGATTTAAAAAATCAAATATTTGGCTGTGCGTAGCGGCTATACTAATGTACTCTGTGCGTAGCCCTGTCTTAGGAACCGTTTCGTCTTTATAGTTATTACTCTGAGGTCGTTAAAATATACATAGAGAAAATAATCACTCCATTTTACTCTACTACTACTTAGAGCCTTAATGCGTGTGGACACGTGGTCGCAAACTTTTACGCAGTCTGAAACACGATATGTAGTTTGATAACACGAGATGATGATCATCCACGCATTGGTTGCCCAGAATAAGTTCCGATCGAAAAGAACTTTGTTGATTTGCTTCAACATGCTGGCCTAGTTATTGACAAACCCAAACACTAGAGACTCGAGTGTTGGCAGCTTCGTTAAAGCCAACGCTACAAGATCTGTGTTTGACAGTGAGGTATTCTTAAAAATAGTGCCGGTGGAATTTGGTGGTTTGAACGGCACTTTTAGTAAGTATAGCTAACCTACTTGACGATGGGTCAAAGTCAACGGTGTCGAATCCGAAGTCGCTTGCCATAAATGGGAGCAATGGGAACTTCGGTTGCGATCAGGGTAAAGCACTACTCGTTTCTCTTCCATTAAGCTATTGAAATTTCCTTTACAATCTCATTTTATTATAAAAAATGTTGTTGTTGAAAGTACACGCATTTTTTTAAGCATTTGGGTTCACATGGAAATAGTTTTTGGGATTTATCGATAGAGTCTGTGCGGAAAGAGAATGGGATATAGATTGGAGGGCGCTGTAGTGCTTTTCTACCGTATTTGTAAGGTTTTACCCCTTTTAGACATGCTTAAATACAAAAAACCACAAGATCACAACAATAAACAAATCCGTATCAATACAAAACTTTGACGTTTTACAGATTGCTGAATTTGATTGCCAAATAAAAATCTTAATGTTAGTTCCGTTTTTCGCCACGCCCATTCTCTTTCCGCATAGACTCTACTAAAACGTAATAATTTTGCATTATAAAAATGTGGGACCCAACGGAAATACATTATAATGTTTTGTGGGGCCCAACGCCAAAAATATGAATCAGGAATTCAAAGTGGGCTCCAGCGACAATGAATCTAATTTGCATTATATGAAGTGTTAATATTGAAGACTTATGCATTTACTTTCCATAAATTCTTCCCCTGAAGCTATTCTCATACATTAGTATTTGTTTTGGAAGAAGGCGAAAAAAGTATCATGTACTGAGTTCAGAAACTCATTCTCATAATAATTTAGGGTTTCTATACAATCGACCATAAACAGATAAAGAAGCTAAGGCTAATTCAATGTTAGTATCACCTTCTCTGCAGGATATTTAGGGCCATTAATAGACATGTCAATCATCTCCTTAATTTCACCTTCCACCACGGTCTCCAAAGCCTCATCCCGTCTTCCAAAGCCGTAATCTCGGAAATACCTCAGCGAAAACCGCCTTTGTACATGCCAGAAGTACCCGTCCGTGAAGAATATACCTGAAATAAAGCAAAACATGACCGGATGCCAGATTTTGAAATATGTGTCCGTTAGAGTCCTCTACTCATTCGTTGGCACCCATTTTACATTATCTTAAAACTATATCATAGGCAAACAATCATTCCTTAAGAGCATTCCTACTACACAAAATTAGCCATTATCTTGTCTTGACAATACATAATTAGATAAAAAACAAATGATGCAAACACAAACACTGATTAAAGCTATTATTTTACATTGTTTCCTAGTAATAAATCATACTCGAGACTGTGCAGTAGACGTTAATTAATGAAAATCTAGACCGATGTTGAATTTATCATAATGTTGTTTATAGCTTATACATATATTTTGTGCAAATGGTATATTTCCTAAAGGTTATCAATGCAGGTCAAACTTGCTTTTACCTCTAGGAATCAGTAATCTTTTTAGGTGACGAAAATACTCCTTATTTTTGTCACCTAAAAAGATTATTGTCTCTTAAATAATTATCAATTATCATGAATGACGAATGTAAAGATGATCACCAGGAACACAAATTGTATGAGAGGCCACTCTTCTAATTTTCTTTTACGTTAAATTGTATTGTTGCAAACGGTTTAGCCGAATTTGTTTGTGTTCTCTTGGTTAATTAAAAACTTGGTCAACTGTCAAACTTACCTAGCTTCTTCCAATAAGAACGCAGCCGGCCGAGTATAATATCCAATCTTCCATCGAATTCCTCGGTATAAAGCATTTCCTTAATCATTGCGGAATCATTGATAATGATTGTTGGGAACTGTCCTAGATAGAGCCCCACTATTTTGGTATTATATTTCTTGCTGATGCTCCAACAGGCGGCTGCCAAGTTGTCGATCACAGTCAGTAACATAATCCAATATGCTCCGTAGATTGGCAAACTAGGGGGTCCTGGAAATTTGTTTATACTACACTACGATGTTAGGTTTTTGGCGGCTATGATTGCGAAGTTAGCAGAAGTCGCGGCGGACGTAGTAAACGAAATTTTAGTTTGCGCGAGGTATTGCACTGTACTTGTGCTTAGTGGCCTTTGTTGCTAACTCCTAAACCTTCTATAAAGTTAACTTTAGTAAATTTATTGAACTTTTTAATTTAAAAAAGTATGTGTATTTTTTTGTGTAAGATCAGCGCAAATTGGAGTCTGAGCAAATCAAATCCGCCTTACAGAAAACTACAGCCAAATTATAGATTAAGACATATGTATGATGGGTTCATGCAGTTACAAAGCAAGGCTACCCAAGCTCCACGAGTTAGGGGAATTGGATCGAAGCCGGGGAGCATCCGCTTCAGCTCAGAGTTTACATCAGATGATTCTATAGACAAATTTTCCCGGGGCTCACAAAAAACAAACAATTAATTTGCATGATTGATGTGTTATGTATGTTGTTTATTCCGTAGTTCGTTTTATCTTTATCTTTATTAAGATAAAAGGTAGGTATTATAGCCTATAGGCATAATAACACTTTGCCCGCTACTTCGTCATTGAAAAATATTTAAAACTCGTGAAATATAAATAAAAAAACACATGATGTATTTTTTGACAACCGTCGAAAGGGTTAAATCATAAGGATTTTTCCTGAATAATATGGAATTTTAAATGAAAGGGAAATCATGAAATTAAAAATTTTATTCAGGAAAATTTCCTTTTACCCCTCCGTGCTTCCAACAACTAGTTAACATTATCTTTTTAAAGTATTTACTAACTAGGTAGTGCCTACTCACTTAATAACATAAGATTTCCTTATTCCTTATTATAACTTGTACGTAAAAAAACTAATAAAGGGATAGGTATATATACAACTGTAGTAGGTACTTGTACGGATTTCTTTGTGAGGTCACAATCACAATGCGACTGGCTTTTTATGAGGTAATGTAAAACATTTAGTATACAAGAACCGGTATGACGGACTTATTCGAAATAAAATGTTAAATTTCATGATTTTTCTTTAATTTAAAATGCTGTGTTATTCAGGAAAAAAATAATCTTTCTGATTATTTTCCCTTTCGATGGTTATCATAAAATATATGTGTTTTTTGTTTCACATTTCTGAGGATTGATTCCCGGCTGTGGCAAGCAATTTAAAAAAATCTGTGAATGCAGTTCTACTTGTTATTAAATAAATAATTATTTCCAACACTCACACCTATAAGCCTGTAGGGCTTGTGTTATGTTATGGGATACTAGGGTAACGGATAGAATACATATACTGTACACATATAAGTATATTTATAGAGAAATACATATTAATAGTCCAGTCAGTATTGTCGCGAAATCCGTTTTTCCTCAAACAGCTGGAACTATGCTAAAAAGTTTCTTAAGATAGTAAAGAACACTTTACATAGAGAAAAAAATGTTTCCAACCCCGGGCAAGGGTGAAAACCACCCTTAATAATCTATTTTTCCAATTATCTCAAAAAGTATACGAGATACGGAAAAAAACTTCAAATGAAAATTGTAGATCTTTTTGAAATCTACAAAACATTATTCCACCCTCTTGCCCCTATTTTCAATAGGGGAGCCAATAATCGAAGTCAAAGATAACTTTTTTAACTAACTTTAACTTTTTAAGTATTGAATCTTTGACTTCTCTTTCTTTGATATTCCTTCATATTATCAATTTAAATAACAGTAAATCATGATTGTATCCAGAACCGGAGAGTATAATTTTTAATAGAGCTGGAACGAGATCAAACAATAGTTTTCCTGTTTCATAATCCCACAGAAAATTGCATTTAACTATCGTCTTGCTTAATCAAGGTAATAAGCTAACTGTATACTTAGCTCTGCTCTGGTGCAACGATATAATCATTTACACTAAGTAATTACCATTATATTCTATACATACACTTATTGAACTACTTATGCCCCGTGTGCCTTAGTTAGTTGAGTGGTTTTCAAACCCGTTTCTATGGCGTGTTAATCACTGAGTTCCCGAGTCAATACCCAGCCTATTTACTGTATAGATAACCTACTTACTTTTAATAAATTGTCTCGTGTAGGGTTACCATTTAAGAATTTCAAAAGTCCTGACAAAAATCCTGACATTTCGAAAGAAGTCCGGACTTTTTAGTCACAAAATGGGACCTTTACTCACTAAGTTACAATGGTATTTTATTTAAATCTTACGTACTTATGATTTTATTTATTTTTTAAGCATTTAACTGCTAGATGTTTAAATCTATATGTACTCTTATAATTCATATTAAATGTATATTTTTAAATCAGGACAATTTAAAGATCCGCACATAGTCCGGACTAATCCGGACGGATGGTAACCCTACTCATGTTTGAATGTTTACGTACCTACCTAGTTTGACTTAGGTCTTCCAGATTTTTTTCAACAAAAACCTAAACTTACTTTGACACTGGTGGTAACACATTTATTTGTACATTATAATAAGTTCATAGTTCGTTTATTGTGATTCCTGCACATCATGTTCGGCTTATTAATTTAATTTATATTAAGTAATTTAAAAATCTGATAATTTTCCCATAAAATGATTTGAAAATTATGATTGTACTTTCCTTATTGTTATAAGCCAAACGCGAGGTGAAGCTAAGAGAGCCTACCTCTCTTAGCAAAGCATAGCTGATATTCAGCTCGAATTCAAGCGCACGTCTAGGGAAGTAACCTCTAGAGATTAAGTGATTGGGTCAGCGTAGGCAGCTGTGCGGGTGATATTTTTTGTATCCCAAGCGTCTATCTATGAGCTTATAGTAACCGCTTACCACCAAGCGGGCCATACGCTTGATTGCCACCCTTTAACATAAATAGTGGGGATTTAGACTTTGTGTAAAAATCACTGACAAAACAAAACATACCCGGTGGGAAATTCTCTAATCTCTTGTAAGCATTTTTGTAACTCAACACTGCGAAATAAGCGATTCCCGCCACTAAAATAATAATCCCGATCATTTTGAAAGAAATAAACTTTTAACATTTAAATACAGAATTATAAATGTAGAATCCAATACACGTTTTAATTGTTTTGTCTCAGCTAAATGAATGATAAATTGTAGACTTATTACTGTTTACTTCACACTCGACGTCCATTATAAACATAGAACGGACATCGATGTTAACTATCAAAGGTCCCGTATCTATACTCAAAGCATAAATTTGGAAAGTTTGTTTGTTTGTTTTGTTGAACGCGCAGTGCCGTCTTTGACCTATTGGAGGCCCTGGGCATATTAGGATAATGGGGACCCTATGACTTCCGTTTCGTGATTTAACAGGAACTAGGGACTTTGTATTTGATCTGAGGAGGCCCTGGGCACTTGCCCAAGTGCCCACTGGGAAAGACGGGTCTATGAACGCGCTTATTTCTGGAACTACTGGTCAGATAAAAATATTTTTTGTGTTGGATCGCAAGTGCATGCATGTATCGTGGAAGGCTATAGGCTATATAACATAATGCTACGACTAATAGGAGCGGAGCACCAATGAAAAAGTTGCAAAAACGGGAAATAATATTCTATTTGTGTGCTTCTGTGTGAGCTGCGTAATAAATAACGGTAAAAGTTGCACAAAAATCATTTATGGCGGAATTGTTCCTTTTTAAAAGTTTTGTGTCTATCTTTTAAGGGTGACCCACCTTTTTCCTCAAATAAATGCAGGTGAAATCGCAGGGCACCTCTAATAAATCAACCTCACAGCCTTTGATCAGCTCTTTACAATACCAAATGTTAGGGTAAAATGTCGCTTATCTGTAACAGTTATACCTCAACAAACGGTACATTAGTACCCATTAATAACTAGCATATTGTGATTTGACGTCGCGTTGACTCATTTTACGAAATTTGAAAAATAAAAAAATTAACCCTTCCCCCATAGGCGCGTTATTATATGACGATTATCGGTATAATCGACTTATAATAGTGCACCCTCCCCCTGCCCCCCCCCCCCCCCTGGGTGCTCTGAAAATGGTAGCTAAATTATATAATTAACTTTTTAGTTTATTTTCAGGTGTTTAGGGTTTTTGAAAAATTCAATTTGAATTTTAAACTACTGATCTGAATCGAGCTACTTCAACTGAAAATTTTCACCATAAGAAGAAGATAAGAGCTAATGTATTACGTAGTTTTAGAATAAGAAAAGTATGTAACTTCAATTATTATTTTTAGATTATAACACATACATTAGCTTATTGCCAAATAAATATTATAAATGTCAAAATACTATAGAAAGCGATTTGTAACATAAAACTATTAAAGAAGTATTGCCATTGACGCAGTGCGAATACTGTAATGCAATGGCTTCCAATTTAATGAGGACCCCTAAAAACAGTCGGCGTGTGCATGTAGAGATAAATAACATGATAAAGTTTTACTTTAGCTAAACGAGGTTGTTACTGCGGATACAAATCAATATAAATAAGTAATATCAACGTTTCAACTGAAGTACCCGTGCTTATTGATAATAATAGTCGTATTTATTAGTTATTTAAATAAACAAACAAAGTACAAAAAGTAGGGCAACGTTCCTCAAACTGTTATCAACTGATTGAGACTAACAGGTACTTACTATCATCATCATCATCATCAGCCTATTAATGTCCCCACTGCTGGGGCACAGGCCTTCCCTATGGATGGAATAGGGAGATTGGGCCATGACCCACCACGCGGGCCCAGTGCGGATTGGTGGGTGCTAACGACTGCAGATGCAACCTGGACCAACGGCTTAACGTGCCTTCCGAAGCACGGAGGAGCTCGTGATAGTAAATTTTTGATCACCCATCCAAAGACCGACCACTGCGAAAGTTGCTTAACTTCAACAACTGCAGCCGAACACGCTAACCACTTGCGCCATCGAGCTCCTCACTTACTATAGCGGTAAAGAAATTTAGCATCGCCACATTCTTTGATTATCCGGGGGTTGGCAGAGCATCACAGGTTATCCACATTTGAAGAGTAAGTAAATATAAAATTAGTTTCAGGCCTCCTCCGCATGGGTACGGTATTAGCGATCGATAAAATCCGACGCGTTATTGCTATATCTGTTTTAAGTACATTATATGTTAGGATGGCTACGAAGTTACATACTGCTGCGATAATAGCGTCGCTAGAAGTAGGACGGATTATCGCCGATATTATCGACCGATAATAACGTGACTATACTTTATGGTACCAGTTCCCCAAGTACGTACTTTGTCAGATTCGTATTCGTATCACCGCCGTTTGAAAGTTTCTGTGAAAACCATGAAGGTTAGAGGTTAGAAGGGCGTTCATAGACCGTTTCTACGGGATCCGATGTCGCCGACTCTCCACACTACACTTCCACCTAATAGATAATAACCAATCAAAGGACGGGACATCAAACAATCGACATCAGCACTCACACTTGAGAGCAGCGACGCAAGCAGAACCGAGTTTTGGTCATGTTATGAGCATTTGCTCATACTGTGGCGTGCCTGCCCCGCCCACAAGGCCTTTCTAACCTCTTTGTGTTGTGTGTTGAAAACATGGAGCACCCCCACTAGAGTCCGCATACAAGGGCAAGCGCTTACGCCAAGCTTAAGTAGTATATTACGTATGCGTGAGACACGCCCACAGCAGGCCAATTATGCTCGCTAATTGTGATATTGTTTTGATGTCTATTTCACATTACGTATTATGCTCTCCGAAAAATGCGATATCAAAATGACATCAACTTATGCTATGATGATGATCAACTCTTTAAAATGATATCAACTTAAATGCGTATTACGTTCAACTTTTTGACTTAAAATAGTATCGCATAAACGTCAAAAATGTGATACAGGATATGATATTGATATGATCTTGATGTCACATAGGAATGTTTCATAATACCATATAAAAACAATGTCAACTTGGCATCAACATCATATTGACATCACATTAGGATTTTATTACAGAAGCTTAATTGACCCGCAGACGTCGCTATACATCGTTTCATTCCGAAGCCGAGCGTTAGCAGAAGTGCTTCTCTCGTTTTTGCGTTAAAAAACTAGAAAAAATGCCGTACTGTGCAATTAATTTATGTGGAAAGTGGAGTAAAACTTCCAGTCTTCAAAAAGATGGTATTACTTTTCACCGGTAAGTTTAAATGCATTACAAAAAGACAAAAATACTCTTATATGAAATTGCTTTTAATTGTATTTATTTTTTGGTGAACGCGTTGATGTCTTTTAACACTATCCCTTTCTCGCATGTGCTACATCATATATGCTATTCCGCTCTCACACCGGCACGTGTATTGCTAGTGACTTGACGCAGCTCATGTCTGTACCCGTAAGTTTATCGATAAGTTTGTCAGCTACGGAAATAGAAAAAATAAATAAAAACTATTTATTTCATCGTATACAATAACAGATATCATGAGTATACAACCAACAGTTTTTAATCATATCGTACTAAAATTTTAAACCCGAAAATTTGTATGGATGTTTGTTACTATTACACGATTAAACCGATTTGTATGAAATTAAGTGCGCATACTTTATGACCTAGATAAAGACGATATTAAATACCCTAGATAGACCACGAGCGCTCAAAATGTGTCCCAATCAACAAGTGCTTAAACTTTATTCAAGCACTTCTTGGTTTACAGTCACGCGCGGACCGATGAAAAGTCAAAATGCCGCAGAGCTCCGTAAAAATGCGAAAAAATACTAATAGTACGTTAAGTGTTGTTTTTTTGACAGGTATCTAATTAATGTTTTTATAATTTGGTACATAGTCATCTTTATGTAATACAATAAGTTATTTATATAATTTGAGCCAAATAAACGTTTTTATTATTATTATAAATTTAACGCATTTGAAGCAAATTTTATTGTAATACTTACTATAAACTGATTTAATATAACATATTTGTGATACTCAAAACATGGTCGGTTATACGTCGCCCTATAGCCGTCTTTTTTCTTCGCGGTCTGTACCTGCTATAATAGCTAACAGCACATTCAGAATGGAGCGCGAAAAGTTAAAAAAAATAAGGTGTATTTTCTTTCGCATATAACAATGAGTCGTAAAATTTTAGGAACTTGTATTTTGAACTGCCATAAATCTTTGATGCATGCGTTTTAATTAAGAGCTTATGCCGTATGCATTAAAAGTGACTTTTTTTTTAAATAATGCATTACATTGTTTTTGACCACGCGATCATCATACGGACCTCTGGGAATCGTCAAATGTACCTTTTGGTCACGTTTCGGCCACGATTTTGTACATGTTGTCGTATCTAGGGTATAAAATATCGTTGTATAGAATACTTTTTGTAACGGAAAAATGTCAGGTTTCTTTAGGATTTTCAAAAAACTAAAGTTAACGTGGATGAAGTCGCGGGTGGTAGCTAGCATAAAATTTGATAAGTATTTACCAAGTTCCTTCAAAATCAATAATTTGGTTATACTTAGGTTATTTTGCGTGTGCTAAGTCAAGAGCCACGGACGTCACCGTATTAATATTAAATTCATTAAGTCTGTATATCGCATGTGCCTTTCACGAGAACAGCAACGAGCAAAATCTTTAAAGAGATATTTAAGGTGATATCTTACAGTCTGATGCGAGAATCAAAATACAGTAACATTACGTGTTTTATTTATTTCATAGGTTTCCAAAATGTGCCAAGATGAAGGAACTTTGGATAAGTGCAACTAAACGTAAAGATTGGACTCCAACTGTAAACAGTTACATATGTTCTCGTCACTTTACCACTGACAGTCACTCCCGCAAACAAAACGAACCTGTACCGAGCCGATGAGTAAGGCGCCTTAAGTTTTAAAAGTTGTCATAAACAGCATATTATTATCTATCTAGATATTTTTTTTACGTGTTTTTTGTGTTGCTTATATTTTATTTAGTATGTAGTTACTAGTCGCGTCATGTAATTAGAACGCTGGAAGAAAGTGGAGAGAGTATGTTTGCGCATAGCTACACTAGCGCACCAAAGTACTAGGCCTCTGTACAATGGAGATCCGGCACTTTTCATAGAAGAAATGCTAAACTTGTATACAGTTGAATTTGGTCTCAAAATGAAGCCAAAATTATTTGCTACATAAAACTAATTTTGCCTTATTTTTAGTGAATCGTGGAAAGAAGTTATATAATGATTAATATTTTTTGATATGGAAACCCTAAATCTTCAAGG